TGTTCGAAACTGATCCGGAAACGGAAACTATGGGATGGATATGCAAGTGTACGTATCCAAATCTCGTTACCCAAATCAATTTAACCAGTGATTATGTCGTTGAAGTTGGTTGCGGAAAATATGGCAAATTTGCTCGTTCCGACATTGATCCTATGTCACGTAATTGCTTATGTGACGACCCGTACATATCTGCATTTGATAATATTCGTGGACCTCATTGCCGAAATTAAAACGGACATTAATTATTTGTCCAAAAAAATAACGATTCCAGTCAGTTCAACTGATCCTGCGTTTAGGCATAAATTTGCTCACCCTAATCTACGCCATGTGCCAGATCCGTGTAGATTTATCTTTGAAGGAAACGAACCGGCAGCGGGTTGTCATGCTAATGGCGAAACCTTGGGCGTGCATATTTGACCTATTAGTTATTTACCCTTCGCTGGCGATTTTGGCGAATGCAACTTTGCTATGAAACGTACCCATTCAATCATAGAAGGCTACTTGTTTTACTCACATCCTAAATATTACGATAAAATGATACCGATATACATGACAGATTTGGAAGGTTTACGGCGCTTTTTTTGGGCCACAAACGAACGTTTAAGATTCATGTGACAATTTCAGATAAAAGTCGGTACGCTATTAGTCTCGATTAACGATTTTAATGCCAATAAACATATTTACGTTATGAGTGTAATACCAGACGCCGTTTTACTATTGGACTTCGTTACCATCAGCAACCTAGCGGTATTAAATGGAAGAACAGTAAATGATTCTCCTGCACAATTCACTTTCAGTAATACACGGGGAAACAGTACAATCGATTTATTTTTATCAAATGCTGAGGGTTTAAATTGTGTTGAGGACCTACAGGTTAACTCAGAATTTTTTTCCTCAACGTATTTCCCGGTTTGTCTCAAGTTAAATATTTTTAAAAACAATAGTAGGAATATTCAAATTTCGACTCCAATCGTGCAGTCGGCATGCTCCCTTCAGTGGAAGGACAATCGCTTGGCTCGAAATACATATCAGCAGCATTTGCAGTTCTCATCACTAGTTATTCCTAATAATGATATTAATGGCTGTTTTTTAAATTTCTGCGCAGCCTTGAATGATACGGCAGCGGCAGCGAATTTGATTGTGACGAGGTCCAACTCTCGTATACCTATGCGAAAAGCTGATCATAAACCATGGTACGACTATCAATGTTCAGGTAGGAAAAAACTAGTACGTCAAAGTTTGAAGGAAGCAAAACTAAACATCTTTAGCTAGCAGTTTAAGGCAATTTATTTCGAGCACAAGGCTGAATACAAACGGCTCTTATCATGTAAGAAGCGCAACTACAACAAGTTATTGTCCGAGACTCAAGGTCTTTTTGGGAAAATATAAAAAAATTAAAGGGTTTATCGGCTGGGTCTGACTTGAGCATTGAAACGTGCGAAGGTTTTTTTCACGGTGTTTATCATCACAGCTCTAAACTCGAACTGGAACTGAACTTTTTCGGATCCTAACCCACTATTGGATAAAACAGTCGAACTAAAAGAGCTTCAAATTGTCTTGCAGTCGTGTAAAAATAATAAAGCTCCTGGCAATGATCAAATCCCCTACGAGTTTTTGAAGAACCTGCCACAGAACTGGTTATTGTATTTGTGCACTTTGTTCTCAAATGTAATTAAATGTCACACTGTTTCGGACTCCTGGACGAAAGTAATCTTTTCAATGCTTTATAAAAAGGGCGAGCAACAAGACCCAAATAATTACAGGTCCATCGCTTTGGTTAGCTGCTGTTTGAAAGTTTTTACTCAAGTGTTATTGAATAGGCTTCTGACCTGACTAGATACCTATAATGTAACTCCTGAAAGTTAAAGTGGCTTTAGAATGAATCGAGGGTGCACTGACAATGTTTTTGTAGTTCATACTGTGATAAAAAATCATCTAAGACTAGAGAGACGAAAAGTGTTTGCTGCCTTTATTGATTTCCGCAGAGCTTTTGACTCGATTTCACATAACCTACTGTGGCACAAAACGTACCAAGCAGGAATCAGTTCAAACCTCATAATGACGATAAAAGACCTCTACGGTAAAGCCACGATTCAAATAAGAGCAACCGAGGGATTAAGAAGGCCGTTTCCCATTTCTTCTGGGGTCTTGCACGGGGAAACTCTTAGTCCTACCCTGTTTAATATTTTTCTGTACGATATTGTCCAGTTTTTAATGGATCGCGAGGTGGGGGGGGGGGTTGATCATGGACGCTTCTAATGACATAACTCTTCTACTGTATTGTGACGACTTAATACTACTCAGCGACTCGGAAATTGATTTACAGAAAAAACTAAATATACTTCAGCAATACGCTAGTGAAAACAATCTTATCATAAATGCAAAGAAATCAAAAATAATGTGTTTCAACAGACCAGGACTGTCCTATACAGGTGGGTTCAAATTCTTATTTAAAGATCCTCTAGAAGTGGTAATAGCTATTTACCTAACAAGTGCGGAAAATGAATTTTTCCGCACGCGGCTGCCGTTCACCGAACGACGCGTAGCGGAGGTATATAGGAAATGTAGCATTACTTAGATTAGGACTATTATTGTGTAGAACCTACTGTTATAAGAATGTATATTCTTTTCAAACAATAAAGAATTGGAATTGAAATTGAAAATTGACGTTATGAGTCCATACATCGAATCCGATGTACATATTCCTTCTTCAGTGATTGATTAGCATTACGAGGAATCGCGTTGGTTTTCAGCTACCCGAATCGTCAATATAATTGTGGGTTTTACAATCGCTATGGAGCGAGATACTTGGATTTTCCATATCCGAATAAATGAGCGACAGAGTTGCTAGTTTGAGACTTTCTTCGGTTAGCTCGTCTGACTTTTCAAGAGCTAGGGCTCCAGTTTTTGCTGCGACTTCATAAGTTCCGGTGGTTGCAGAACCCAGTGTTAGATGGTCCTACGCTTTCAGTTTGATCTGAGCTGGTCTTCACTGATGATGTTGATGGGGTTGCCTCACCAACAAATGAAGCCGCCTCCAACTTTTCTGCGTGGCACATCATCAAATCCATTAACAGTTTTAAATCATGACTTGCAATAGCAAGTTCGCTGTTTGAGGTAAAAAATTAAGCCCTAAGTTTGTTTCGTAGTCAAATTATTTCAAAACTTACATGAGCGCTTTGGGAAATCCCATCTCAAGGAAAGAAGTCACCAAATTTTCCATTTTCAATCCTTATACTTTCGTTATGGCCGTTGGAATGAGAGTGAGACCGGCGCGCAAACACCAAAGGTAAATAGTGTAGTCAAGTTATAGGAATTTAGATCCAACTTCTGAAAAAATTATATACAAATGTTTATGAGTGGGAACATACTTTCTACTTTCTACTTTCTACTCCAAATGTATTTTAATCACTATATTTTTATTTGTCTGACAGAGGTAGACTGATTTTCTGCTGCACCTGGTGCAGAATTATGTTAATGTGTCCCCTATTTAATAGAATTATGTGCTCCAACAAAACTCCAGACGAAATAAGGGACTGTTTCAGCTTTGAATTATCTCCGTATCCGTTAGTAGAGCGTTTTCACAGCTATCAGACCACATACCCACCTCTACCACGTAAAACCCACCTCCAGCACAGTCATCATACCACTACCCACCTCCACTGTAAACCCCCTTCCGTGAAGCTCCTGAGCACTTTTTTTGGCTCAAGTGCCCCCAAACCTCTTCTACGTAAATGGTTCACCAGATTCACAAATTTTGGGGGCCCGGGTCAAATTCTAATTTCAGATCAAAGGCGCCGATTTTCCCACGATATCGAAAAAGTTCCCACGCTATCGAAAAAGTTCCCACGGTTGGCCCGGGTCAAATTCCCAAAATTTCAGATCGCCTATTTTCCCACGATATCGAAAAAGTTCCCACGCTATTGAAAAAGTTCCCACGGTTGGCCCGGGTCAAATTCCCAAAATTTCAGATCGCCGATTTTCCCACGGTATCAAAAAAGTTCCCACGGTCAAGAGCCTTCAGCTATCAAACCAATACCCACCTCTACTACATTAAAAAGCCTCTGAAGAGGTATCATATCCTTTCAATTTCTTGAAAACTAAAGAATACCTAAACAATTTCTGCATTTGTATTCGTGAAATTTGGAGTTGGGCCGGCTCAAATCCCCAAAATTTCAGTTTTGCGCTTCTCAATATTTTTGAGTTGAAGCAAGTGGTGAAAAACCTTGCTAATTTATTGATACATCTTCGAAAAATATGGTTTGATTTTTCATTGAAACACAATAAAATATTAAATCAAGCTATCATTTTATTAAAAAAATTAAACTAATTGGAATTTTGAAAATCTTTTTTCTTTCCTGGGGGTTGGATACAACATCTGCTTCTGGATTATTGCTATCTACCATAAAGTCCTTATCTCAAGAATCTTCGATGGTAGGGTTTTTTTGTTTGAATATATTTATATGTTTACTATGTCTGATATGCTCGACTAATTTAGTTGATCTGATGACACCGCATTGTTTGAACTTTTGGGAAAAGTTACCAATGAGTTACAAAAACAACCAACTTCATTAAAATCCGTGATAAGCCAGTATTTTTTAATATCCACTGAAGAATTGTACTTTGTGATCTTCGAAAAATATGTTTTGATTTTTTATAAAAACCCAATGAAACCATAAATTAAGTTACTATTATTTTATAAAAAAATTATACTTATAAACTACAATTTTGCAAATCTCTCTCTTTCTTCTTGTCTAAACTTTCTTTTTGCTTTTTTGCTTAATTTCGGCGGGGGGCAACGGATAATTTTGTTTGCTAATACTTATGTTTGTGGATTATAGCTCAACATTGGAGGGTCTTCATCCCAAGAGTAGTCTTTGGTAGGGTCTTTATTCTGTTTAAAAATATTTATATTTATAATTGTATTATGTCTGTTAATAATATACAAATTCAACGATATCAATAATAAATTTATAATAAATGAATAAAGTTCATTTTACCTATATAAAATTCATTCTTTTTTTTTGTTCAGTTGATTTTTCGAAGTCTTCCTTGATGAGCTGTTTTCTTTTTTTGATAATGTCTATCAACTTATTACAAATAAGTATTTTATTGTAAACTTCTATCTTTTCCAATATTTGTTTTTTCGTTTCATCGAGCTCATTTAGCAAAAATCCTTTTTCTGCTAAACGTACGGCTTCTTGGTCCAGTTCTTCATTTTCCGTCATCTCAATATCTTGAATTATATGTTGTGGAGTCACAAGAGTCACGAATTCTTGATCCAAGTTAGGATCAGAAGGACTTAGCAAATCCACAAATTCCTGATCCATGTCTGGATCAGGGGTCATGCCATTATACTTCGAAGGGCTTCTTCTACTTCATCGCGCTCTTCTAGTCGATTTTCTCCACGTAATATTATATTTTGAATAATATTTACTTTCTTCTGGTTGTTGTCATCGTTGCATCAGCTTACAAAATAAGCTGATGGTTTTGAGCACATCAGTTTTTTTTGAAAACCCAGTTACTTGGAGACACTACTATACACTTTAAAAGTGATTTTTATATACTTATTACTTGTTATTATTATTATTAATATTAGGTATTATTATTATTATTATTATTATTATTATTATTATTATTATTATTATTATTATTATTATTATTATTAGTTTTAATGTAGTATTATTTGCTACTTGGACTGCTGAACTGAACTGAACTGAAGTCTAGTCTAGTCATCCGCTTGTATTTTTGAATTTCGTTGTGAAAATTGATTTTTTATTGGAACTTGTTTACGGTTTAATCTTTGGGGAGCAGAAATATAGGATAAAAAAAAGTCCAAGTGGAGCACAGCACATTTTATTCAAAATAAACTGAATTAACAAATTTTCCTTTAAAAAAAAGCTCCTAAGTAATAAAAAAAATATTTTTTTTCTCAAAAATATGTATTTTTTTGATAATACGGGAGGTACAATATGTGTACCACCAGACCGCTTGGGGTGTAATAATAATTTATAGGCATTTACTTCAAAAGTGCATATTTTGTTGTTCAAATCCCGTATTTTTAAATAAAAGTTAATGAGATTCAAGAATTATGGTATGTTTGGAAGCACGTCCTTTTTTTTCTCAAGCAGAGAGGTACTTGGCATATGGTACAAATCCATTCTGCTCTTATTTGTTTTGCTTTCGTGCTGCACAAAGCACATCTTCTTCTGGAGCTACGTTCAGGTTGATGTCTAGATGATTGGTGGCGAATTTCTGGAGGCACAAATGGCTTTGACTTTTTTTTTCCAATTTTGCATAGCTTGAGCTAGTGGATGGTCTTTTCTTAGATATTCAATAGTTTTTATGAAGTCTGGAACACCAGATGGTTGTAAAAAATCCGGGGGTGGTGTAGGTCTAAAGTCACATTATTTTGGAGGATTATAAATTGGGTTCAACAAGAGTGCATTGTGTGGTAGATTATTGGTGAGTCTTGCTTTCAGCTCAGATAAAGGACTGTCGTATTCATCTTCAGAATCCGAAATTGGCATGTCATTACCATTGTCAGGTGGCATTTCTTCTTCAACATCAGAAATGTCTACTCTGCATCCGACGGTATTGGCTCTGCTTCTGCTGTATCATAAAAATCATCCAGCTCTGTATATAAGTCATCAACGTTTATATCTACTAGTCGAAACGGTAGTTCATCTACTTCTCGTCTTGACATTTTTCTAAAATAATATAAGAAACAAAATATCATCACAAGTGGCAGTGGTACGAAATTCGTACCACCAAATATCAGCCTTTTTGGGAACAAAAACAAGAAAATAATTACATACATAGTAGAATACACTTACCAGAAGGTATATGCACAACATCAATTGATAATTTGTTTATAAATCGTAATAAATAATTATTTTATCATGATTCGTCTGGAATTTCATTTGTTTACATTTCTACTAGACCTATAATAGCTTTCTGAACTAATCCAAGGCCAATAGCCATGCGCGAATTGTTTCAACAAGTCAAAACCATCCTGGAATAAAGGTGGTTCACGAAATATACCACATATACACTAGTCAAAGTGTATTAGATTGGAGGTCTACTATATGATCCGCCGCCGCTATGCCGAGGTGAGAAGGGTGGTACAAAATTTGTACCCGTGATGCCTAAAGAGGGTGTGTAAAATATCATAAAACATAAAATTTTAATAAAATATTTTGTATCAGAACAAAATATTTCACATAATTTTTAATATAAAATACAAAAAATAGTTATCAAATTGGAAGCAAATTAAGTATTGAATATTTCATTGGTAAAGTTTGAATCACCCTATAGATTTTTTTATGGAGTTGTTGCACTTAAGTTTCTCACGGAGAACGTAACTGGCTCTTATATATAAAAAATAAAATAAAACTGAAGCAGGCTTACGGCTGTCGGATTTGTCAATCATTTTCTGTCATCATTTGTCGGATTTTACAAAGATTGCGTCGTGCCCGTTTTACAAAGATTGCGTGATATAGGAAATGTGAGTTATGAGTGTGCAAAATCTGCGTGTTGATTTTAGTGTTTAGTGATTTAGTGTTTTAACAAAAATTAATATTTTCCTAATAAGGATTTTTCAATATTGCACAAACATACTGTGGAATAAAAACGTATACACTTATTGTTTTATAATTTCAACCCATAAAACCCACTTATTTATGCATTGTTGCTTATGATGCGCCATGTATCTGCGTTGGATAAATATCCATGGTATAATATCCAGAAAATTATGAACTGGCCACGTGTATCCAACGTGGATACATTTTCAAAACCATGTTTTTTCGAGTATGTAATTTTTGTTGCATTTTACTTCAAAATAATATTTTTGCAGCCAATGCGGGAAAAAAAAACGTGGCCATAGGACCCTAATTTTTTGTTACCATTGTGGCACTCAACGTGTTAAATAAACAGTGAAAATTTCATCGAAATCGGCCAAAGCACTTTTGGGCTATTAATAAAAAACTATTTTTTTTTTGAAAAACTTAGCACCCTGTATCATGGAAACAAAGCGTTTCCGGACCTATATCCATAGGAACTTTTTTAATTATTTTCATAAATACTATCTGCCCTTGAAGTTTGTAACACCCTTTCGGAAACACCCTGTATATATGCATATATAAAATCATGATTCGAAATTAGCAGGACATTCAGGTTTTACAAGAACATATAAAAGAATGGCGCTCCAACAATGAGTAACAGATAGCATGATGGCGCCTCCAGGATCAAAATATTCCGGAGGTAAAATACCCGACCACTCGGATCTCCGGGCGTCGGGTGATCCTGGGGGTCCTTCATGCAAAGATATAAAGAGAAGATCAAAAACTCAACTCAGAATTGATTTTAGCAATATAAGAGGAATAAGTACAAATATGAATTCAGTTCACCAACATCTTGAAGAACAAAGACCTGACATCCTTGTTCTCACTGAAACTAAAATCAGTTCTGCAACACCTATTGTGAACTATCTTTATCCCGGCTATGACCTACATCACCGATTTCGACATAATTTTGGGATCTGTGTGTACATTAAAAATGACCTTTCATGTCATCGAGAGGAGAAGCTAGAACCAGCGAACCTTGATATCATATGGCTCAAATTCACCTCAAAGTCATCGACCAAGTTTATCTGCTGCCTCTACCGACCGCCAAGTAACACCGATTACCAAAACTTTTTCGCGACATTATCCGAAAGCTGTGATAGTATACAGTCAAACTATCCACAGGCGGAAATTGTCTTTTTAGGCGATTTCAACGTCCACAATATACCCTGGCTGAAACACCACAACAAAACAGATAACGAAGGCAGAGAAGCAGAAGCTTTTGCCATAAGTTGTGGTCTAACGCAGCTTGTCGATGAACCTACCCGTATCTCAGAAAGGGGCGAATTTGCAGCGCTTTTAGACTTGTTCCTAACCACCAATCCTGACTCGTACACAATTCAAGTAGATACTCCACTTGGTTCGTCCGATCATAAACTTATAATAACAAAGTGCGAAATGCTCATCCCACCAAGCCTACAACCACTTCCCCGTAAAATGTGGCACTATAAATCGGCAAAATGGAATGACCTAAAACAGTATTACCTGGATTTTCCATGGCAAGAGGTTTGCTTTAAAACAGCTGATCCCACTATTTGCTGTAATGAAATAACACAAGTAATCTTATCTGGAATGGACGCATATATCCCACATACAACTAAACGTAGAGCTAATGCAAAACCTTGGTTCAACAGCCAGTGTCAAACGGCTGTACAGAAAAAACAGAGAGCATATAACCTTTGGAAACGACAACAAACCGCTCAAAACCACACAGAATTTATAGAAGCCAGAAATAGTTGCAAAATTACTATTGACTCCGCTAAAGAAACATACAATCAAAGAATAAAAAACAGGTTGATGAATTGTCCAAGTAGTTCTAGGTCTTTTTGGTCTCTTGCAAAAGCTGTTGGATCTAACTTCACCAAGTCATCCATACCACCACTTACAGATAAAAATAATCACTTAGCCACAACATCAGAGGAAAAAGCCAATATGCTTGCCCAAATGTTTTCCTCCAACTCCAACCTCACAGTGCCAAACGGAAAAACTCCACCGTTCATTGAAAGGATTTCCCATAGTATGCCAGAGGTACCCTTTTGTCACAGAGAAATACGAAAATCCCTAAAAAAGCTGGATACAAACAAAGCAATGGGTCCGGATGGCATTCCCGCAATAGTACTCAAAAATTGCGCCAACGAACTTACCCCAGCTTTCGCAAAATTATTCAATTTGTCTTACAGGCAAGGAGTATATCCATCATCATGGAAGTCTGCCGCAGTACAACCCATTCCAAAGAAAGGAAAAAAGACAGATCCGTTAAACTATAGACCAATTGCCCTACTTCCGGTGATATCAAAAGTAATGGAAAGAGTTCTGAACAATCACCTAACCAAGTACTTGGAAAAGTACAAAATTATCAACGATAAGCAATACGGATTTCGAAAATATAGATCAACTGGCGATTTACTTACATACGTCACTCACTTATGGCAAAAAGCGATTGAGTTGCGGGGTGAAACAAGAACAATTGCCTTAGATATATCTAAAGCATTCGACAAAGTTTGGCATGAAAATCTGCTCAACAAGCTCAAAGCAATGGGATTATCGCCGAAACTTTGCACTTGGTTCGAAAGTTACCTAAAGGACAGATCCATTTATGTTGCACTGGATGGCCAGAACTCCAACTCTTACCAAATAAATGCTGGTGTGCCACAGGGAGCAATCCTTTCGCCAACTCTTTTCCTGATTTACATAAATGACCTCATAGATAAAACAGTAAATCCAGT